CAAGGGAGCTTTGGAAGCTGAACTCCGTGCAATCAAGAGGAAATTTTTGTCTCACCCATCTGCCCTTCTGCTGGAGGGGGAACCATCTGTTGTCAGGCAACACGTGGGATGTCACTTGCAGGGTCGCGTGTGTGCTTGCTGGAAACTTTGAAGGCATAACCGAGAGGGATCTTCAGCAGTTCGCTCCGAATCCATCCGTGCAAATCAGAGACCTCCGTTTCTGGGCACAAACTAAGCTTCGAAAACTGGACCGCGACCACAGCGGACTCGAATGCACACTTTCTCGCGCACCAAGTGAACCAAGCATGTTGAGATATCACGATGCAAAGACATAGCTGGATTGTGCAGAACGGTGATGGAAGTCCAGGTTGAGACTCTGCCTGTTTTATTTTAGAAGCTTTCAAAATGCGAAAGACTGACGCTCAAAGAAACCAGTTCATGTTGTTCATGGAGATGAACTGGAAGAGGCTGTTCAACTGCACGCCTCCACTCCCCAGCTCTTAAACCGTGCGAATCAAATGTCAAACATCAATACTTTTCTGAGAGAGCACGTGAGAAGTGCCATTTTTTGATTGTAAACATCCGAAAAACCAAGCTTAAGCAGTCTGGCCTGTGCTGCACCCAAAACACAAGGAAATGCTTCTTCCTAAACCGAACCCTGTCACAGTTGCCACTAAAAGGCGATTTCTGCCCAAATCTGGGGAAATACATTCACGTTGACAAGAAGAATCTGCCACTAGAAAGTCAAATCGAACCTGTAAAAGCTGAAAGAAGACGCATCTGGAAACCGTGTGACCGTTGCCACTTCGGTGCGATTGTGTAAGGAATATGCTTCTTCTGCAGCCAAAAGTTGCCACTTTTGGAAGATGATTATGCCAAAACTCCAAGAAAAATGCACGCTCTAAAGCAGGAAGCGCTGTGTTTTTTGGCAATGTGTTAACTCATCCACCACAAGCGCCTTCCCTGTATCTCCGTATGCGGTTGCAAGAACTGGCTCTCCAGCACATGCAGTGGTCCGTTCTCTGAGTCGAGAAATTGAAGTGGAGAACAGAAAAAAAGAATGAGAAGCAGGCTAAAATTTGGCTCCAAAATCGACCATTCTTGGCGCCATCAGACCTCTTCTGTCTTGTGTTGTTTTTCTCAAGAGTTCAAGAGTACTCGCTAAGTTTTGCGATGCTAGCAGCACATCCATTGCCGGTGATGTGTTTTGGAATTTCGACCAATGCTATCGTATTTCGAGTCTCTACGACTCTTCTTTCAGAAAGTTTTCTGTGTGTCATTGTCCGCAAAAGCAGCTAGAATCCCCGCGTTTCACGCTGTGTGTTAGGTTTAGTTGTTTTTTGCTGGAGGGAACCTCTAGAGTAACTGGACCTTGTTTCGACCTTCATTTTGATAGATTTGACCGGCTTATTGTTCAAGGCCGCAAAACCTTCGAAAACGTGTGCACTACAAGGAGTCTCTCCAATATGTCTCCATGAAACGTAGCAAGAGATCTCCACGCATGGTCGATCGTCCACATAGAGCATTCTTAGTTTGGGGGCGGAACCTTGTTGTACGACACTAAGAACGACTTTTACAACCACCGCTTCGAGTAGCTGGACGACGGTTCTCTTCAAGCTTTGTTTATCGCTGAGTTTGTTGCCTTCCTTGTACAGTCTGGAGTTAGCTTGCTAAGAGGCTTGTCCGGTGCCGAACAGGGTATGCTCACGCCAAAAAAAATTGTTTCTTTTGATTTTCTCCGAGAAAAACCAAGGTCTTGACAAGACAAGTTGAGTTGATGGGTTCTTACATGCAGTTCTTCGGAGTCTTTCTTCTTTGTTGTTTTAATATTGTTGGAGCACTTACCAAAAAACCTGCTCATAGTGCATCACCAGTTTGAAAATGTAGAAAATGTGCTGCACGGCTTTGGAAACTTCTTGCTGCGACTCTGACTCGTACTTCCACCTCCACTTCTACTATTTGGAACATTGTTGTGTTGGGCTTTGGAGAGAGTTTGGGAACAAGTATTAGATTGTTGTAGTAGAAATAGTTGTTGTTGTTGTTGTTGCAATAGTAGCAGTAGTAGCAGCAGTAGAGGAAACGAGAACCGAAGATGTTATGGCCTGCGTGAAAAGTAAAGAACATCGTTATAGCAACAAGATTTTAATTTTTTTGGCTTCGACTTTGTGACTTCAACACTGCGAACCGTTTCCCGTGTCATGCCAAGCCCGGCTTCAGCACATGGAAACTGTGTCTAACTGCCAGGAAAGATCAGAGTTGATGGATTCAGGGGCGGGCTTCCAACGTCTACGATTCGGGAAAACCGTTTTCGATGTTTCAATCTGCAGGTGAGGGTGAGCAGCAGCAGCCAGAAAGCGTAACCAGCAGAGAAGTCGAATGGATGGCCGATGTATTTCTGGTCAGTAAGTCCCAGGAGCTTTTGAGCCCTTGCACGCGCAGCTGAAGCTTGTGGTTCGAGCGCGATGTTGTTCGCTTTGGTCGCTTGTCACCTCTTCGTGCTTTCATCTGCATTTGTGCCAACATGGCTGTCTCAGTCTGCCGGACGGCATGTTTGTGCCATTTCGCTCGGCACAGTGAAGTGCTGGGGAAGCAATGGTTCAGGTCAGTTGGGTTTGGGCGACAATAGTGACCGTGGGGACACAGCCACCGAAATGGGCGATGCCTTGCCAACAGTGGATTTGGGGCTGAAGCTGGCCGTGACGGTGGTGGCGGGTGGCACGCACACATGTGCCATCCTTGACGATCTCACCGTGAAGTGCTGGGGTTCGAACACCTATGGCCAGCTGGGTTTGGGCGACAATTCTGCCCGAGGTAACCAAGCAAGTGAACTAGGTGACGTCTTACCCCCTGTGGACCTTGGCAGTGGGAATTTGGTGATCGAAGTAGCAGCTGGTTATTTTCATACCTGTGCACGGCTTTTTGACAACACGACCAAATGCTGGGGTCGCAACGATTACGGCCAGCTGGGGGTGGGTGACACCACCAACAGGGGCGATGCCACAGGCCAGATGAGCGATGAGCTGCCCAGTGTGGACGTGGGCACCGGGCGTTCGGTGCTGGGTTTGGCAGTTGGAGATCTGCACACCTGCGCGTTGTTGGACGACGCATCCGTGAAATGTTGGGGCTCCGCCTCGGATGGCCAGCTCGGGTATGAAAGCACCTACGGACGGGGGCACAAGGCAGAGGAGCTGGGAGACCACCTGCCCGTCGTGGATGTCGGGACGGGCAAAAGTGTGTTGCAGATCGTGGCCGGCGACTCTCACACCTGTGCTCTTTTGGACGACGGCACGGCCAAGTGCTGGGGCAAGAATGGGTCCCCGGATCGGCAGTCCTGAAGCGTTTTCCAGCGAAACCCTAAACCCTAAACCCTGAAGCATGAACTTCAGCCCTTCTGAGTCTTGAAGTTTTGATTCCCAAGGTTGGGCAATCTTGGCCTCGGAGACAATACCAACAGAGGTGATGCGGCTGGTCAGATGGGGGACAATCTACCCGCAGTGGATTTAGGATCTGGGCGGAGTGTTATCTCGCTGGATGCCGGCGGCGAGCACACCTGTGCACTTCTGGATAACTTTGAACTGAAGTGTTGGGGCTACAATGCCTATGGGCAACTGGGCCTGGGAGATGTCTCTACAAGGGGATACCTCTCAAACTCCATGGGGGACAACTTGCCCAGCCTTGATTTGGGTTCCGGAGCAGTGATCATGACTTTGAGCGTAGGGCTTTATCATACCTGCACAGGGCTGGGTGATGCTAGCATCAAGTGTTGGGGCTACAATTCAGATGGCCAGTTGGGTTTGGGTGACACGGCCAACCGTGGCGACGACAGCAGTGAGATGGGAAGCTACCTGCCTTCCGTTGTCCTCCAGGGGGTTGTCACGTCAACGAGCATCACCAGCACCAGCACGACTGCCACAATTTCCACGAGCACAACCTTCACTGTCACCAGCAGCGAAACCACCAGCACTGCATCTGTAACATCAACAGACACCATGACAATCACCAGCAGCACGAGTGCTACAGATTCTACGACTACAACCATCAGTATCACGACGACCGTGACAGAGACCACTACGACTACCAGCAGTGCGACTGCCACAGTCTCTACGAGCTCAAGCAGCTCAAGCAGCCGCACGACCACGAGTATGACTGCGACAGTGACGCAGACCACTACGACTTCGGCCACCAGCAGTGAGAGTACCACAGTTTCCCTCAGCTCAACCAGCCACACAGCCACGGTGTCGGAGACAACTACCAGGAGCACGTCTCTGACCGTCACGCGCTCTTCGACAGGAACCACCTCTTCAACAAGCAGTCTCACCACGGGTACCAGCACCTCCTCCTCCAGCGCACTTGCCGGATCGGCGCAGGACTTGGATTCGCATGCTGGTGAGTAGGATACAGACATGGTTTCCAGTACAGATTGTGGGTTACAAAATCCTACACCCTAAACCCCCAGAAATAGAATTCCGGACGCGGATAGCTGAGGGAGAAGAGGGTTCAAGAAAAAGCCTCTAACCCTAAACCCTAAACCCCTAAACCCCTAAACCTATATGCCAATCACAGTTTCAGGCCAGGTAGACTTGAGATGTGCGTCTTTTGAGTCTTTTGTCACAGGAGAATGTCACTGGAGGCCCGGGCCTCGCATGCAATTCGACAGCCGTTTCACGTGCGTGGCCTGTCATCTTGACTCAACGGCTTTGGGGTTTAGGGTTTAGGGTTTAGGGTTTAGGGTTTAGGGCTTTGGGGGCGTAGTGCTAGTAAGACCTTGATTTGGGTTACGACGAGCAGTTATACAAGTAATGGTAGTTGTGGCAGTGATGGTTAGTTGCCCATGAGCCTGCTTGCTGTGTCCCCTGATCCATAAACAAGCCCTAAACCCTAAACCCTAGACCCGAAACCATAAACCCTAAAGCCTAAAGCGTGCCAGGGGCGACATGCGACTCCGGTCTCAAAGCCGGCGTCTCAGCATCTGCCTTTCACTTCGTTGCCTGTGACGGGAGATGCAGCTTTGCAGGTTTTAGGAGTTCGGCTTTAGGTTATACCGATGTGGTCTGTAGGCTTGTGGGCTGTGCGTTCAAGATTTGTCGTGTTAGTCCAGGAGTTTGGGTCTACGGAGCCCGAAGCTCGAAACCCTCAAACCAGTGGCTTCGCTGTAGGTGTGCCTCTCCCTCCGCTACACTTCGGACGGCGGTGACCTCAGCGGGTTCTCCGCCAACTACAGAACAGATTCATGGAGAGACCGAATGTGTCAAAGCGACCAGTGGTTGCGATGGTGGTTCATGGAGATGATGATGCGGGTTCAGCAGCAGCAGCAGTACCAGTAACAGTAGCAGCAGCTTCAGAAGCAGAAGCAGTAGCAGAAGCAGAAGCAGAAGCAGCAGAAGCAGCAGCAACAGCAACAGCAACAACATGCGGCAACAACAACCACAACGACGACGACGACGACGACGACGACGACGACGACGACGACGACCACGACCACGACCACGACCACGACCACGACGACCACGGCCACAACAACAACCACGACCACCACAACAGCAGCAACAACAACAACGGCAACAATAACCACAACGACAACCACAACGACAACCACAGCCACAACTACATCCTAGGGCAAGCGCCCTCTTCCAATGCAGGCGATGCCATTGACCATGTCGCCGGCAAGTTGGAAGAGGAGACCGTATGGAACATATGCGTGATACTCACAGGAAGGGGAAAACACGAAGCCTGATGACATGTGCTCCAGGCATCTACGTTCCCGAAAGTCCTCTGAAGGACCATGCTCAAGTCATGCAGCATCTTCGCTTGTGTTCTCTTCAGTTTGATTGCGCAGACATCTACGTGTCATGGGTGCCTTCTGAATTCAACGTTGCACTTGGGCCGAAAAGCAGCGGAAGGAATAGTAGCCAGCAGCGTTGACACCCGTACTTGTTCTAGTTCCGTACTGCTGCGTTCATGACACATGTCAGCCACTTCCGTGTTATGTCGTCCTACTTGGAGGATCATGGGACTTAGTAAGTAAGGTTATAACTACCTTAATGTTATAACCCTAGTTACTAAGTCCCATGATCCTAGTATGACCACTTAGCATGAGAAGGTCTGCTCCGAGAACGCGTTGTCCTTTTCGAGTGAAAGGTCCGGTCCGTCGCCGGTCCAAACTACCCAGAGGCTCCAATATCCCTTAATTAAGGAATATACCTGAAATCATATTAAGGATCCTACTATAATTTAAGGAATATTCCTTAATTAAGGAATATTGGAGTCTCTGGGTATGCTATGCTCTTCGACCGCAGAGGAAGCCTTCTCCTCGCGAGAAGTTCTGTGTACAGGGCTTCCAAGCTTCCTCAGCTGTGCTCTTTTAAAGCTTGCTGCAGCGCACCAGTGCTTCGCAACTTGTAGAACACCCTGGGCGGGTGCCTGCACTTGCATTGCCTTCAAGCTCAGTCGGCTTCCCAGAACACTAATCCTAAACCCTTTCCCTAGTTCATGGTTGGGGTAGTATTAAAAAATTAAATGTATATTCCTTATTGGGCTTAAGTACCCTTAAAAATGTAAAATGTTACCCAACTATACCCAACTATTACCCCCCTTGGCCCTAACAAGGCCTCAAGCTCCAAGCGAAGCGCCGGACTGAGTCGTGGGATTCCGGGTTTGGCACAGGCCACCGTGAAGTTAAATCGCAAGCGGCTTCCAACGCAAAGATGACTTCGAATGTTCAGATCCACACCTTGAGGCTGCCTTTCAACATCACTGGCATGTAGCATGCTCCAAGGAACAAGGGCTTCAAAAACTGTGTTTGTTGTCTACACCCCAACCACCTCCAATTCAATCACACCGCTAGACTCGGCCAGACTCGACCCTAAACTCCCCCAACCCCCAGCCTAAAATTAAACCCGTCACATCCCCATCCCGATACTCGACTCCTAAGCCACCAAAGCCCTGAACCATAAACCCTAAACCCTAAACCCCCTGAAGAGCTTCCTCTGCTCGTCATCGCTGCGAAAGCCGCGGAGCTCCGATGCACTGAGTACTCCGATTCTCGAGAGCTGCTCTCAAAATACTCTGATCCTCTGCAACAGTAACACTATAATAATGATAACCATCATCATAATGAAAAATGATAGTGATAACGATAATAACACTAATAATAATAAGAATAATAATAAGAATAATAATAGCAATACTAATAGTAATAAGAATCATCATCATCACAATAATCATAACAATAATACTGATAATAACCAGAATCATAAAGAATCACGATATTATCTAAGGAGTTTCCAAAGTCCTCCGTGTCTATGACTCCCAGTATCTTTAATTACATTGAAACATGAATCGTCGACATTGATTGTGCAAAGGCAGGTTATCCAACCGTTGCAGGACGGTTCGTTGACGTGCAGTGATACAAGTCCCCTGCGGGTGCTACGTCGAAGACTGTGGTGAAACGTTTCCTGGGCCCCTTGCTGACACCACTTGGCAATGCCGATGGGTGCACTACTGGCAGTGCACCATGTGAAGCATGTGAACCATGTGAGTCCGACCGCGAAAGAGCACCTTGGGACGCGGACCTCGTCTTGGACGAGGATCTCTGGGAAAGTGGGCAGCCATAACTTCGGCTGCGGTCGAGCCGCGTGGTAGAGCTGCACTTCAGAGGAACTTGGCTTGACTTTTCCATCGCCTTCTGATGCTCGAAAGCTCTGCTGCCCTTCTTCCGGCGCTGGGGAATCCTTCGACGGTTGTCCTCAACCGGGAAAACTGGAGGTGCCTTGAGCACGCACTTCGGAGCCTCGGTCGACTCATGCGTGCAGAAGGAGATATCTCAACAGGAGCCGACCCGCCACTTACCATCACCAGGCCGGGTATGCCGGAAGTCTATCAGAACGGACAACTTCGGCTTCGGCCAAGGGGCCGCTTTGGCCTGCAGGCCGCAGGGGCTCGTGGCCTCGGACAGCGTTCGGGCTGCATGGGACATGGAAAAGAGCGCCCCTGAAACTTGAAGAATCCCGAAACCCGCTTCTCCATCTACTGGCCCACCGAAGCGGGCAACTTCCTGTCTCTCCCAAATGCAGGATCTGCCAAAACCTCGCTTGAGGCTCTGAAGGCTACAAAACACAAGGATTCGCCCGGTGGCTGGGCGAGCCGGTGACAAGGCTGTCGCCTTGAAAGCAGTGCGCAGGCGCTGCCCCAGCGCCTTTCCACAGAGTCATCCCGAATGATTTTGGGAGGAAAAGGGAAGGGGTCATGAGTCACGAGCTCAGTCTCTTCGTCATTGTAGCTCTTGGTGATGGTTACTATAATTTAAATTGTCACAAGTAGCCGAGCTTTGCCATTATGCTTAGTAACTTCTCTGTTACTGTCGCTACTATGCTAGTGTTGCAACTCGGTACAAGAATCCACGCCGTTGTCGACTAGAGCTCTAGGAGCTCTCCAAGTGGTCGTTTTGTTCTGTTGCAGCTTGGGGTTCAGGATGGTTTCGACACGCACACATTTTCTCAAGGCAGGCACTAGGGCTTACAGTAGGGTTCAGAAACGTGGACAGGGCGATTGGTAAGCAACTATGGCTTCGGATAGACAACAAATCGTTGGGAACCAAGTGTAGACAATGCAGATGGTTCCCACCCGAGTCAATGCAAGCCTACTGTCCCAAATGGCCCAAGCTCATTCCGAAACTGTAGTTGCTCCGGCAACTCGAGTACGCCTCAAACCAGCCAAGAGGTAAAACCTAAGATTCCGGACGGGGGTCAGGCATACGGCCCTTTGCAGCTTAAGTTTGGGTTCGGCCTCACGTGCTTGTCGCTCATGCTCACGGCACCTGTCATACCTCAGGAGCTTATACGGGTTCTCCATCGCAAACTCTTCTCAGGCACGGAAAATCTTGGGAGCCAGACCAATCCCGACAATCCGGCCGCGAGCCCACCGCCAGCAGCAGATCATACTGCCTGCGGAAAGTGCAACGAAGGTCTCGCCCAGAAGTCATTGTCAGAAGTGTGAGACTGGCGAAGTTCGGCCTCCACATTCCACGGATCGTCTGTCCTCAAACCTGCTACGTTTTTTTGCCGGCGAGACACGGAACTCGGTACGCCAAGCAGTTGGAGGCTGCCCGAATGATCGCACCACTGTCGGCCAAAACGCCTTCTGGTACAAAGCTGCCTGGCCACAGCAACACTCGACGGTTACTCAGCGCCGCAACCCTGGGATCCGCTAGATTCTAGATCACTTTTCTCCCAAAATTCATCCGTCTAGTGCAGGGGCACATGAGCAGCATGTCACCACAATTGTCCAGAGATGAAGTTGGAGGTCAACAAACGGTCAACGAGCCCCGCCATCCGAATCGTAAGGAGGCTGCGACTGAGGGTTGATCACTGATTTGACGATAGTTGAGAGCTTCGGCTGTCTTCCTTTGGCACGGGATGCTGCTGTTAGCAAGCTCTTTGGAGGAGGCATTGCAGTTTCGGAACTGCTTGGGCTTGTGCATCCCAGCAAACCCGTACGACTGCTGTCGCCTGTCGGAGACCGAACAGGCTGAACAAAACCATGCAGCCCATATCGACCCCATGTATCCCGAGAAGAAAAAACATTCCAGTGAGCAGGTCCTGCAGATGTGGCTCGATTGCATACAGTGCCTTTCGGAATCCGAAGCCATCTGCTTCCAAGGCACCTGCCTTCAACCGTGACACTCGCCGTCCACCCACCTCTATGTGGGCAAAACCAGCCACGAGAACGCCAAAGTGGGGCCCAGCGGGGTGCGAGTCCTGAGGTGAATCTTCCGTGACCCGTCTTATGCCCAGCCTAGAATCACGCAGCTCCGGGCAGTATGGTCCAAGATGCTGTAGGAAAACCAACAGCTAGCAGCATTCAGGCACTCAAGAGATGCCTAGGATCCCTGCACATAGCCTAAGAGGACAGCTGGTGCTCAACGACAATCCACAAGCAACCAAAACTAGGAAAGCCCCCATAGCATCGATATGTCGTGTTACCGGTGCGCACATTGAAGGGAGGCTTGAGAACGATGGAATAGGTCCCCAGTCCCCTGCTCCCCGCAACCACACCGGAAATCACGACGTGTTCGATAGTCCTGACTTACGAAAGCTAGACACTCGCTGCAGACTGTGTGTGCGTGTGAGCATTTGAGATTTGGCGTTGTGCAACAGCTGCATGTGTTGGCATTACAGCGACATTATAGCGATTTTGCAACAACAGGTGGGTTGAAAATGGACAAGTAGCTTGTTGCCGTGCCGCATTTTTGACATGATGTTGGGACATGGAGCAAATACAGCTGTTCTGGGCTCTGTTTCTCGTGCGTGCTTGTGCGCTTGTTTTTGTAAGTTGTACGAATCCGCGGAGCGTATCAACGGCATTTCGTGCGCTGCAGAGGTTGAGAAGGCGCCTAAGCAAGAGGTTCTCGGCACCTTCTGCTTGTGAAGTTCGGTGAGTTTTTTGTGAAGACGACGATCATGGCACAAATCAACAAGAAAAAGATCAAAGAAACAAGACCTCAGCCCTAACGAGCAAGCTCGAGGTTAGGCCTTTGGGGTTGTTGTTTGCCAGCTTCAGAGAAATCTTACATGCAACACCCAGTGGTAGAATCTCTCGGGACGACAGGTCGGCAGTACCGGGGTGGTGGTAGTGGTGGTAGCAATAGCAGTAGCAGGAGTAAGAGTAGGAGGAGGAGTGACAGTAAAGTAGTAGTGGTAGTAACCTGGTAGCAGAGGTTTAGTAGTCGTCGTCGTCTTCAAAAGAACAGAAGCAGAGAGCAAGAACCAAAACAACAAATAACCCTGTGCTAGACTCGCTGGCAGCAAAGACCACGAGCGGCCGTGGTCAGAAAGCTCGAAAGACGGAGGCTCAGAAGGCGTGGACGTTGCCACACTGCAAGAGCTTGGACTGCACAAGCTAAGCTCAGAAGCCGAAAAGCGACTGAGTTTGCATGAGTTTACTTTCCGGGACGGAGAAAAAGGTACGACGAGAAAACAAGCATGACCCTAAAAATGGTCTTGCACCGTAAGTACCAACACAAAGCCAGTTCGTGGCCTTTTCCTCTCGCTGTCCAGGTGTCACACGCGAACCCGCCTTCGCATGCATCTGACGAGATCCGTTCAACCGAAAACACTGCAGGTGACGTGCTGCCAGCGTGAGTTCGGCATCTGGCGGCGACCACCACAAAAAGGAAGACTGCAGCAACATTGCAACACGGCGGCGGCAGAGACAAAGCAACAACAACACAGCACAGGAACAGAATGATACAACAACACTCAGAGTGACCGAGTGGTGAACCCCTGTATCCTGCACGAGTGGTTCAACCGGCCTAGCTGGTTTGACGGGCCGAAAAGGTTCTCTTGCACTCAAAAGCGGGCCAACGGGTAGAGGTAGAGCCCAGCGGCCGGCATTGGCAGCCACGCCTCACCTGCACATGAGGCCCAGCCAACAGCATGCAAGCAAAGGAAAGCAAAGACTCTCTGCTGAAGAAGCTACAAGCCTGAAGACCGACCAATGCAACCCCTTCTACAGCCACCTGGAGGTATGTCCATGCGCTCTGCATGCAGCGCCACGATCGCGGCACAGGAATCTTGTGGCGAAATGCCAAGGGGTAGTGCGCACATTGGCACGCACTGCTGCGATTGCTGGCCTGTGCTGCGAGGTTTTACGAGAACGAAAGCATTGCGTGCCGCTTGCTTGCCAAGCGGCATCTCTCATATGCCAGAAGCAGCAGTGACTCCTTCACCCGCCGAAACTTGGCCCTCTCCAGCACCTCTTGTCCTTGGCGGTGGTCGTGCCATCTCTCTGAATCCATAGCTGACAATAATCTACAATCTGCCTTCGGAACAACAGCGACCACTTCGTCTGAACCAACACCAGTCAGCTTGTGTCTCAAAAGGTTAGGAAGCAAGTCTATGCCTTCTGATTCTGCAGGCCCAGCGGCGAAGCTCTACCACCATGCAATCCTGCAAGAACACGTTGCCAGAATCCCTATTCTGCAATCGCCGATTGTGCTTACTGCGCTCCTGGAGTGCTTGCACCGTCGCCGTGCGAACGTGCAGAAGCCCTCAGGATCAGAGGATCACCAAAGGTTCGCGCGAGGTCCCACCACATCACAGCATGGAGTCTCAAGCTGCTAACCGGGACCTGCGACTGCAACGACGACGACGTTGCTTACGACGGCGTCACTGCTGCTGCTTGCTGCTGCTTGCAAGCTTCGAAAAGATGACGTTGGGTGCTAGAGGCTTCATCTGCTGCTCCTGTGAATCTCTCATGACTCAACGTCTCGGTACTACTACCACGATTCTCGCTTGAAGCTTTTTGCATGTGTCCTTTTGGCTGCTTCTGAGCATCCCGCCCATAAGCGCAGCCTCGCCGAATGATGCACCCGGCCCGAGGACTCCGACTGCACCAATCTCCTCCAAATGCTTTGAATATCTTTGAATTTTTTGCCTCTCAAAAATATTAGGGTTTCGGGATTTGTTTGCTTCGGGTTTAGGGTTTACTTTGATCCATTGACCGACCGCGTCGAAGTAAGCTTTGGGGAATGCAGCGGGCGAATAGTTCAATAGGTCAAATATGGTCAAGCCAACTCGACACTGGACTGAATCTACAACCTACGAGCTCAACCGCCCCAAGCGACTGTGATTGCAGCTTCTGCTGCACAGGATCTGAGGCTGAGCATTGCCACCGGCGTTCTTACGTAATTTGAAGGAGGTGGGAAGCATGGTGAGACAGTGTCCTTGGCATGAACCTGCGCGTAGCCGTCCACGAGCACTATCATCGAGTCGGCCGGCTCACCGATCAGGCACAACGCGTAGCCGCACTTCACTTTGGTGGCGTGCAGCTCCGTGGCCAAAAAGGTCGCCAGCTCGCCTGGCGAGCGTGCAAAAGCCAGGAGGCGCTTTAGCACCGCCTCGACCTTGCTGCGGAATCGCGAGTCGATGCTCTGCTGCGCTTGTTCTTGGGAAATGTCTGCGCTGTTGATGCCTCGGAAACTGTCCACCTCACCCATTCGCAAGCGCTCCTGCTTGACACGGGCATAGTTGTGGGCAGATGGGCTCAGCAAAGGAGCAGGTGGAGCCGGGGGAGGCTCTCCGTCATCTGATGCCACGGAGGCCTGCGAGCCTTTGTTGGAATTCGATCCCAAGGAGTCCAAATCGTCGATGTCCATGGCTACGGCTGGGCAGGACCCATTCTCTACCCCAAGTTCTACGGAGCTTTCTTCTGATAGCCTCTGCAAACAAGATCGCGGGGACCGGTATCGGCGTATGCCCAACTGACAAGGCGATCTACCCTAGCTGCTAGCTATGCTATGCTATTACAGGTTCGCTTGACTTGAGGGAGTGTTGTACATCGTATGCAGCCGGCTCCTTCTTTGAGGTGAAACCAACTGCGGGTGTCACATGTGCATCCCGCGCCTACCGAATGCTAACCCACCTCGGTATGTTTGCCAACGTCGTCTGCCAGCCTTTCAATGCCCGATGTTCTGCCCACACCCGAACAGACAACACAGCTCTGTGCCCGAGTCCAGAGGTCTACTCTTTATGCTGTCCGCAACAGGCCAACTCTGGTATATGAAAGTCTTCTGCATCTCTTGAACAAAATGTGCACATCTGCATCTGCTTTATCCTCGTCGACCCCGTGGTTTGCCAACAACTTGCGCACTTCAGCAGATGCGCACAGGAGAGGTCCTACGACGGTCCTACGTCAAGCGAGGATGAGAATAAAGCTGTCAGAATTCCTTCAGCTCCGCTGACATGATGCCGACCTCTTGGTGGGCCAGCAAACTGTGGGTTCAGAGCTCATCATTCGGCGAGACGAAGGAGCTCAGGCGGTTCACCTGTGGAACGCTTCGAACAGGCGCAGCATGGCCAGCTCACCCGTTCTAAGGCCGGCCTTGAGTGCCATATCCTCCTTCTTTGACGGAGCAACCGTTCCTCCTGCTATGATCTGCTTCAGGCGTTCAAACTCTGTCCTGGAGCATGCGAAAGGGCAAAGGCCGTTCGTGTTACAAACACCTACAAGATGGCAGAAGAAAGACGGCTAGACACCAGCATGTCTGCGATCGACTGTGCTGCTAGCTGCTAGGTGGAACAATTCTCACAAGAAACCAAGGGCTGAGATGGCAGTCGCAAAGACAATGGGAACCCCCAGAATACGTACGTACAAAGGTTCCTTCTGCAGTACGGAACCGGAAACGAAAGGAAGTAAAAGCCTTGAAAAAATGCCTAGGATGGCTTTGCTGCAAAGAGTGACACTCGTTTCGCTCGTGGGCATGAGAAGTACAAGTGCCCCTCGTCACACGGGGCTTTCAGGCAAGCATCTTGAACCAGTCACTTTTGCCCTGTGTCTTCTCCATCGCCTTTACGTAGTAGGACGCTGCTTCCTTCTCTGCTCCTGCATTGGAAAGATGCGTGCGGGCTCTCTGCAGTGCCATTCTCTCCGAGATAGACAGCATGAAAAGACTGGACCAGAATTGGATAAATTGAAGGATACATTTTGTGTTATGGTAAATATTAAGACATACAGCTATACATGTGTATATATATAGTTATTTACATATATTGGTATGTATATGTATATACAAATGACTATAAGTGTGTGTTATGTGTTCTGTGCTGTATAATGCGTTTCTTTCAAGCGCCGCGCAGACTGCGTGCCCGGTCCTGTAAGAGCCTCGGCTGCCACCTTGGCGCTCCTTTGTCAGGCAAACGGTTTAGGGTTTAGGGTTTAGGGTCGGGACAAGCGACTTGGAAGTGCGACGGACGAGACCGAAAGCTTCATCATTATAGCACTCATTGCGGCAATCAGTCTAGATAGTAACTAGTAGAGTAATCAGTATGGTAATCAGTATTGAGATCAGTATAGCAATCATTATAGAAAACAACATTGCGACATCGTGGTGTTGCATCATGTTGCAAGTCTAGCAAAACCTCCGAGCTTCGGCTGGAGCACATGGAGAAGGGTGAGTCCACAACAACGAGAGGGAAACCGGCATAACGGTTGGGCAAGCCGCTGGAGTACATCCGCTTTGTTTGCACCGGACTTGACAAAGTCTGCCGCAAGCCTCGACAGTCACCAGCATTGAGCCCCAGCAGCTCGAGGCATTCGTGCGACGACCCTACTTGACCAAGTGCCGCGCTTGTCAAACTCACGGATGGTGCCCTTCAGTCCAAAGTAAACTTTCGCCTCCTGGTCGCCATGCAAGACTGGAGCAAAGTTTCCGAAACAGCACCACTCACATCCAAGCAATAGCATTCCATCGTTCTACAGGATTGCCCCTACGTGTTTTCCTATGTCCTTCTTGAGGAAAAGGGTCATTGCATCCGTCTTCACTTCGCCGGTATACTCGATGTCAGCCCCGCCATTGGCCGGGAACAAGCGGAACTTGGGAAAGATGGTGTCCATATCACCTTGGCGGGCTTAAAGCCTACCAGCTTACAGCCTGCACGCTTGGCCAAGTCGCTGTATTCCAGATCCTTACCAGGTGTCTTGTATCCGAACTGTTCGGCCACGTCCTGCAAGGACCAGTCAGAGACAGTGGCTCTTTCGGGCGAAAGCGCCACTCGGCAAGGCACCGTCCTGGTTCATTTTTTCCCCATAGGTAGAGATGCCCACGCTGGCAATAAGCACCTTCGCGACAGTTCCAGCTAGCAAGCGGGAGAGGGGTGCATGAAGACACCTTGTGAACATCTGAATCTCGGAGGGCCCTGCAAACGTCGTAGGTCCATGTATGCAACATGTGATATTCTTTTATGGCCCCTGTATAACTATAGTATGTCCCCGAAAACCTGTTCGAAGGAAGTCATACAACTATATAAAACGCCGAAGGCTAGCCCGTAGAGTACTCTTAAGGAGCCCCGAACCTTAGACCCAAACCCTTTTGCTGCAGGCTTGCAAGCGAGAACGCCTGGTAGTTAGACACTCGTCCGCCAGCTAACACAGTACTCGTGACAGTGCTTCCAGCTTCCGACCAAACCCTTTTTGCAGCGGGCTTGCCTCGATCCGACCAAACCCTAAACCCTGAACCCTAAACTCCAACCCTTAGACCCTTAACCCTAAAGCCTGGAGCCTAAACCCTAAACTTTGGCCCTAAAGCCCAAACCTTTTTTGAACCCAGGCTCTGACCATCAGCTGGGAAGTCAGCCACAAGAGCCCTAGAACCCCCAAAACCCTAAACCCTAACCCCCAAACCCCAAAACCCTAAACCCTAAACCCTAAAACCCAAAACCCAAAACCCTAAATCCTAAACCCTAAACCCCTAAAACCCAAAACCCAAAAGCCAAAACCCTAAACCCTAAACCCCTGAACCCCCAAAACCCTAAACCCTAAACCGAAGGCCTTGGCTCCCACTGCAGTCTGTGCCAGGGCCTTGAAAGCATCGGCCTGCGAGTTTCGGCTTCAGGGTTCGGGGATTTTGCTAAAGGGCCCTTTAAGGGTTCGGTGATTTTCTTAAAGGGCCCTTTAAGGGTTCGGGGATTTTGTTAAAGGGCCCTTTAAGGGTTCTGGGATTTTTTAAGGCCCTTTAAGGGTTCAGGGTTTTAGAGTTCAGGGCTTCGGGGCTTTGGGCTTCGACTTAGGGCTCAGGGTTTAGAGTTTTTTTGCTTTGGGGTTTAGGGTTTCGACTTTCAAAAAAGGTTTCGGCGCTCAACAATCCAGGCGAGGCATATGGAACAGGGTTTAGGGTTTTTTTGCCTCCTACTTAGCAAGGACGAGCCCGCATTGCAGGGTACATTGACGTCTGAGAGAATGCACATCAAGCCGGATTTCAGCCCGATAAATTAAGCAGAAGGGCTTCGTACAGCCCTTCCACAGCAGTTCCAATCAGACCATATTGGCCCAGATCACAGTGTGTTTACCATCACTCGTAGACAGCATGTTATCGAGAGTCAGCCTACACAATGCGCCACTCACAAGACTCACTCAAAGTCGCATCCCAACTCAGCTCTTTCGGATGGACA